TTTTCATCTCTGTTATTGTTTACGACTGAATGCGTGATTGATCAGGGAGGGGTGCATGTAAGAGGGAGACATTTTCTTTGGGGTTCCGAAAAACACAATTTCACTTGACAATTTCATGGGCCATTTCAATTGGAAGCTCTGCATAATGGACCCCAACAAGCCCTTTGACATACTAGTCAAGAAATGCAATGGTGTATATATTGCTCTTATTTAGCGCCGATAGTTCTTATTTAGAACAAAGTCTTCATTGTTATCTTCTAACCACTAGCAGACCATCCCGCTGACCGCTGTGGAGACGTGCCGCCGGGCACTCGAATTTGCGCGCACCGGCTCTGCCACTTGGGAGCAGCGCTTCATACTTGAACATCCCCGCGGTCGCGTGCGCATATCCGCGCGGAACTGCGGGTCTTCATGGCCGCCGGCGCAGCGCTCAGATCAACCGCAAAGCTGTTGGCCACGCAATCTTGTATCACTGTCTCTCCTGGACCGATTTGATTTATGCAATCCTGACATTAAATTGGCTTGCTATAGGCTACATCGTATGCCAGTCACGGTGCGTATGTTTTACATTGAACACCTAAACTTTATACGTAACAATAGACAGCTATACATGCAGCAATTTAACCATACAAACGTGAAACAGAATTACTTACACGTTTGCGTGAAAAAGTGGCAATATTTTTTTTACATTACCTACTTACGTGACCGTTAATCCAACATTTAAAGTTGTTCGCTCTTCGTTTGTAAAAGGTTCATGATAGAAAGCTGATTTGGTTTTGGTTCAATTTAAATCACTTAATGTGGGCTATTCGAGTTATTTTAGTCTTGAAAGTTTACAAAGCGGAATGATCAAAACAAAAACACGTAGGCAAGAGTACATAATGGAGATACGTATATGTATACGTACGATGTAGGCACTTATACGTTAGTTCATGCGGTTTAGATTCTAGAGTCCTGCTAGTGATCTGTGGAAGACAGCATAATCTCTGTACCATAGGCGACTGATATGCTATGCCCCCTCCCCCACACGTTCCCCTGACAGCAGTAAAATCGTCAATCGAGAAATGAGCATTCTCATTCATGCTTTTTGCCTTCATTTACTGCGATAGAACTGGTGCAAGCGATGTGTGTTTACTCGGGCGTGCCGCCCCTTACAATTTACGTTTTCATGTCGAACCCCACCCCGGAGACATTGAGACTTGCTGCTTCCCCTGGCGTTAGCCTTATGATCCATCTCATAGATGTGCACTGCAACCGCAGAGGCCCGGGGTCCTTTTGCCAGCTGGTCGGACCTTTTATGTCTAACACGAAGCTAACCATTTCGGACGGCATCCACGGCGGCGCGGCGGCAAGAGGGTGAGGGGAGGTTCATGAGCGCGTACCGGCGCGTTGCCGACGGAGAGGTAAGCGGTGGCTAGTTGCATGCGTGTGTGTGTGTGTGTGGTGTGTGTGGTGTGTGTGTGTCGTGTGTGTGTGTGGGTGTGTGTGTGGTGTGTGTGTGTTGTGTGTTGTGTGTGTGTGCATGTGCGTATGCGTGGTATGTGCGGGCGTCGCGCCGTGTGTGTTGTGCTGTGTGTGTGTGTGTGTGTGTGTGTGGTGTGTGTGCGCGTGATTGTGTGCGACTGTTGCGTGTGTGCGCGGCGCGTGTGTGTGCGTTCGTGCGCACATGTGTGCTTAGTGCGCGCATGTGTGGTGTGCGCGCATGTGTGCGTGTGATCGCGTGCCGTCGCTGCTGATATGCGCGTGTGTGCGTGTATGCGCGTGGCCGCACCACCGTCTGTGTGCGTTCGCGGCGTCTGCGTAGCGTGCGGCATGTGTGTGCATGCATGTGTGCGCGCATGTGTATACGTGCATGTGTGTACCCTGTGCGCGCGAGCGTGCGTGTACGCGCGTGCGTGTGCGCGCGTGCGTGCGTCTGTGCGCGCGCGTGTGGTGTGTGTGTGTGTGCGCCAGTGCCGCTGCGGTGCTGTAGCTGAGTTACACTAGGTTTTTCGTGGAATATAGTCTCGTTTCGTTTTCTTCTTCCTTTCTTTTTTCCCGTATCCGGCGCAACAGGAAACGTTATAGTCAGATACGGTATGTCGAAAAACAGTGCACACATAAACCAAGTTCGTTCTACAGTCTACACCATATATATATACATATTTGTCTTTATTGACTCCTGATATATATATATATACTTCATAGATATATATATAATATATGTATATATATATATGTGTGTGTGTGTGTAGTGTGTGTGTTCGTGTGCTGTGCTTGTGCGTTGCGTGGCGTGCGTGCGTGCGTGCGTGTGTGTGGTGTGTGTGGGGTGTGTGTGTGTGGTTGTGTTGTTGTCCGGGCGCCGTTGATGTGCGACACGCGGGCTGCGCGCAGATGAACTCCTGGTATATAACTACGCCAAGAGGAGAATTAATTTTACATGAGCAGACGAGCGGATATACAATCGCATATATTTCACAACTATTCTATATTATTATTCTTATATATCTGCATCTATATTTTCTCTCGTATTCCTCAGCCAGCTTTGCCGCCGCAACGCGTCCACGTTCGTATTATGGCCACGTTCGGCGATAGCCTTAGCCACTTCTAGATAGTCAACACCTTAATTAATCTATCAATAACAACTGTCCGTTGAAGTACACTTCACCCGGATGGGGCATCCATCACTGAGTTAATCAGCTAAGATGTTTCGGAGCGCGTGCTCCGCCAGCTCATAGGCTGATTAACACATTTTTCAATATGGGTTTTAGTTAATAGTATACATATATATATCCAATAACTATCACCCTACACCTCTGTAACCCCTAGCGCGAAATTCATTGTTCGGCCCGAGCCCGTAGCCGCGTATTATCGCGCTTCATGTTTAGTACACCTCTCTCACGCACTCAACACTCACTCTCACCTACCTAGTAGACACACCGCAAGGGCGGCTTGCGCCAAGCGCTACGCGCCGCGTGCTCTCCACTCCCGCGCAAGTGTGTGCGGGAGCGCGACTTCTGTGCTGTGGCCTGGCGTTTTGTCGCCTATTTCGGTAGTAACTGTCAGCAGGGAAGCAAGCGGAATTGACGAGCGCAATAGTAGTAGGAGTGTGAACACGGGGAGCCGATGACGCAGCCGATGTGGGTGCATTCGCCGCGCGTGAGCTGCTACCGAGCGATTGTGTGTGTGGTGGAGTGTGTGGCAGTTACAAA